AAAAGACTCTCTGAGGCTCTGATCAACGACATGGGTCCCCTTGGCAATATGTGGCTAGTTTGTGTGACGTCAGCGTGCATCTAAACATTTGTGTAACATCTTTGTCAGTCGTTCTTTTCATTATAATCTTTGTAAATCGTTCTTCTGAGTATAATAGAGCAAAAACATATGTGTAAGACATTCTTCTAATTGTAGGCCATCAATAGCATTGATATGCACAACAAAACGCCCCCACCATAAGAGACCTTCCCGCACCTGCCTCAATGAACGACGATTAAGTGAAAACTTCAGTTTCAAATTTTAAGATACGTGTTGAGCATTGGAGAATCCATCAAAGATACCAGACTTCCTGGGACCGTTTGGGCCTCTTGGTTGCACTATGTGGTCAACGTTTTATCGTTATCGATTACAAGTCGATTGTAAAACAGTACAAATATTGATATAACGCGTACACCGTTATGCACTAGAACACATCACTCCAATGATATGTCCTCGACGGGGACGCTAACTCGTTAACCAAGTAAGGTAACGGCCCAAGCTTTTCAGGAATGTGAGCAGCCGTGGTGAACTTCGTGAGTCAGCCAGTCAGCGCCGATCTTTGCGCAATTCCACGGCTTATTCCAGCGAAGAAGGCCAGGGGCCGAAGAAGGCCAGAGCCGACACCTATCCGGAGAGGGCCGGAGCGCGAGCCGTGTCCTCACCCAGCGATGTGACGATGACCCCCTGCCGCACGGACACGGACAGCGCCAACAGCAGCAGACGCGCCGCAGCACTCATGCCGTTACTTCCGTGCGCGAGGACGCCAGGCAGCACAGCGCTTCCGATGCGGCCGCGGCGCCTCTGCGGCGAACTCGGCGCGGCCGGCTCGGCTCAAGCCGTGATCACGCCGCAGCTCGGCTGTGTCGGATCCCCGCAGGATCACCCGGACGCGGTGCACGTATATGTCACGTGGGGGATAGCAAAGCTGCGTCAGCGTAGGCACCGCGCGCGCCGTCACCGCCGTGGACTACACCGCCTGCACAAACACGCCGGCCTCCTCGCTCTCGCAGCCTCGGTCGACCTGGGGCGGCGGCGCTCGATCCGCAGTCACCCGCGCTGCTGGAGCCGTCTCGGCACCCGCAACGCGACACCCGGCTCCGATCCGACTCTGCGGCTGGCGCGCCGCCGCGAGAGCCGCGCTCGGCCGGTGGGGGCGTACGACCGCGGCAGGCGGTGATAGCGGGAATGTCAGACCGGGCTCTCGCCGTGACGGAAGCTGCAGATACGCCGGAGGAAGGTGGTGTGTCGTCACTTCCGGTGTCGACGCTCGCCGCGCGCCAGCAGACTGACAGCCTGACGCGGCTCCATGGAGTACTGGCGCGCCGCTGCATGCTGCCACGGTGCTCAAAGTGTTGAATCACGACGTTGCGCCGATGCACACGAGCTCTGACGTGATAAACAAGGCCTTTCCATGCCTATGACTACATTTACTTGGTAACATGCATTTCCAGTAAAGCAACTGTAAGCGGTCACGCTCTTTGGAGTCATCAATATGAAAATGGAGCGCATGCACCGAGTTCATGCCGAAATATTGTCACGGATGGCCGACACGCGTCGTCAGTCCGTCAGCTTTACAGCTCACGCGGGCGTCCTGCGACCGCTCGGTGCCCGGGACTGCTGCAGCGCCGGACGGGTGTGTCCGGGGCGGGCATGCCGGCTGACGCTGGGCTACCCCGTGCACACGCTTCAAGTAGGGGGAGAGCTTTCTGGGAACGTAGCGTGAGTAGCCGCGGCCGGCCGTGCACGAGAATGTGTGACGAGCGATCGTGGCTGTGTGGGTGGCAGATCACCGGGCAGAAGCAGTAATAACTACTGGTCGGGTAGTAAACGCGAGTGGCGGAGCACCGCGCAGGAGCGGTAGCAACTGCTGTTCGGGTGGCGGAGCACTGCGCAGGAGCAGTAGCAATTGTTGGTCGGGTGACGGAGCACTGCGCAGGAGCAGTAGCAACTGCTGGTCGGGTGGCGGAGCACTGCGCAGGAGCAGTAGCAACTGCTGGTCGGGTGGAGGAGCACTGCGCAGGAGCAGTAGTAATTGTTGGTCGGGTGGCGGAGCACTGCGCAGGAGCAGTAGCAATTGTTGGTCGGGTGACGGAGCACCGGACAGGAGCAGTAGCAATTGTTGGTCGGGTGACGGAGCACTGCGCAGGAGCAGCAGCAATTGTTGGTCGGGTGACGGAGCACTGCGCAAGAGCAGTAGTAACTAGAAGACCAAGAGTTCCAGAGCTGGCCCCCGTTAGATGCCGAGAGGGTTCAGCAGCGGCCGCGAAATCACATGCTCGTCAGATGAAGTCTGCACACGAACTTGCTTATATTGTTTTGTCAGGAAGCTGTTAAACCAGCGCTCGTCTACTCAATTATGCCGGAGCTTGCGTAGAAGGTGGTCGTGCGGAAAAATATCGAAACATTTGGACAAATTTAACAGACAGATCAGTTGACTCTGCTCTGGTCCATAGCAGCTGACAAAATTGTCCGCGAAAGAAAGCAGCACAGCATCATGTGAGCGATTAAATCTTAACCTACGCTGCTTAAACGGGGGCAGGTGGTGCGTTGCAGGTGTTGGGCTTGTGAAATGCTCTACGAGGCATAGCACGGAGAGGTACAAATTGGTACGTTTCAATCACGGTTTGTAGGGCCTCTTATAGAAAAACCCTGATGTTTGGGCGTTGGTACCTCAGAGCCATGGAAAGCAGATGCTGAGGTGTTGCATTTTCTGAATCAGTGTGACGAGAAAATGTTTATATAGTACTGTGGTCCAGGTCGAGCCACTGTGCAGCGTGACCTAACCTGCCCCATGGGACTGGTTTGCATCAGCATTAGATGCCTCGCATTGCATTCGCTGACGTGATTCACCGCGAGTGACATAGCGACCTTACATCGGCCTGTTTCTGAACCTCGCGGCAGTATCAGTCTGTGATCCATACTGTAGAGTGGGAATCAGGCTAGTAGGAATCTAGTGGGATCCTCCAGTGGCGTAGTTCCGCAAAATGCGCTGAGGGCTGAACGGCAAAAACATCACAACCAGCCCTGAAATACGCCAGCGAGCGGGCTTTTCCCGGATTCGGCCAGCTTTTTTCTCAAAATTGGGGGAGCCTCTCTTATTTGACAGGATTATACATCCATCATACGCCCCTGGAATCCTCCCCTATACTAGGCGTTTTCGCGATGGATTAATGCATTGAGAAGTTTTGAAAGTATTCCTCAATCCGTTTTATGAAGTCGTAGTACATATTTGACACTCTGACAAGGACCAGATCGTTTTCACGCAGTTCCGTAAACATGCGATAAGTAAACCACATGCATTCAGCCGAGAATTGGTTTTTTATATTTAACGAGACTATAGACATTTTTTCAGCCCACGCTTTTAGTTCATTCGAATTCTCGGAAAATGCTAAGCCTGGCAATCAGCAATGTGCATCGGTCGAGGGCGTTGGATGCCGGCTGTTCCACTATTGCTTACATCGGTGCTGTGTGAAGCAAGGCGGTCTTTGAGGATCATTTCATTCAAGGATTATTCATCTTGGATTATGTTAAGGTATGTAAGCCCTTTGTCACACCGTTGGACCTGTCCGCTGCTGGACGTGCTCGAGCCAGGCAGTGCGGCGGCCCCTACTGGTGCACCCTGGCCACGTAATCCCACAACAGCTGAGCAGCTCTTCAAGCAGCGCTGCAGTTGAACGCGGCGATCTGGTTCGCAGCAGCGACCTTTAGGGGGCAATCTGAGACTGATGTGTGATCTCTGCTGTTTTCATGGCACTGCTCTGGGCTGCTTTGAAATGGAACGCCTGGTTCTGTGGTGCTGTTTTTAGATCGGTGTTGTAATGGCTATAATTCTTTCGCAAATGCGCTGCACTCAGATTAGCTGGATATTTTGCTGGAACTTTTCAATAATAGATACATGCACAGATACGAATACCTACATCACGAATCAAATCAACTTTTGATCATATACAACCGAATGCAACACTTATGATTATCTCGCATGAATCCTCAGAATACCATGCGTTGTCGAAAAATGTAATATACTTCAGAAGTGTAGGCAAAATTAGTAAAATAAGGTTCAGTAAAAATACAAAAAGACAAGACAAGTGGCTTTCTCGAAAGACGGTGGGGCAAACCCCGTGATTTTCCAGGATGCAACTCCTTGGGGAGCAGCTCTTCATCAGCAGATGACTTCGTCAATCCGTCTGCCTCCCCTCCGTCCCCCCCCCCTTCTTCATCCTGGCCAAGAGTTGGACTGCGCCCCTGTGCTGCTGAAAGTATTGGTCCGATGTCGTCGATGGTTATTGTTCATGGTGAAGACAGATATCTGGTTACGCGATAGTGAGTTTTTTAATGCGTTGGTGCAATTTAGCATAGCGAGATTGGACGGGTTCGGGAAGAAGCCCAGGCTGCAGCAGTAACACCTACACGATAAGTTACGAGGCACTGGTACTTATCGGTGCTGTGAGCGTATTCAGTTACGTGGTTTGTGCGGTCCTGGGCAGGCTCGCCACCTGGTCTATATCCATATGTGCGACACAGAAGATACCCCGGTTGCCAGGGGCAACGACGGGCTGGGAAGTTCTCCTGGCGCGGCGATCGAGTCGGGCAAACGCGGCGAGACAGGGGTGGCAGGTTCGGAGGATAAGGGGGAGAGGTCCTGGGTAGAAGAGAGGCCATTGTTCGCAAAGACGTGCAAGGTTTTGCTTGGCTTGTGGAAATATTTGCAATAGTACCAGTCGTTGTGTACGCCAGACACCAGTCCGCTGTGTAATGCCTGTCACGCGCCTGCCCGCGCAGAGCCGCGGAAGCGGCTAGCGGTTTTATGCAGGCTCGGGCTTATTCCTGTAGGGTTTGCTTTACTTTGGTCTGTGCAGAGTCGGGTTTCTTTCGGCCAGTTTCGTTTCATTCGGGTGTTTACAGATTCGGCCGCTGTCCTTGCCGTTTTCCAGAGTCGGCCGCGGACGATATGAGGCGCAACAATGGTGCCCGATTGCGTAAGACAGCGGAGGAAATGAGGCCACGGCCGTTAGCACTGCCTCTTTCACACAAGGACAGAGTTTTTTACCCTGGTGGACGCAAGCGGGACTATTTGTGGACGTCATGAAATGTGGACATTGTGAACTGTGCACATTGTGAACTGTGGACATCGGTAACAGAGACATTATGAATTGTACGCACTCTGACTGGATATTGCAAAATTTGGACATCATCAACAGTGGACATCATGATCTGCAAACATCATGAACTGTGGACATTGTGAGCGTCCCCCGTTTTTATTAAACCAGCTTTCGCTGAAGCACGGCACCACACAGTTACGCTGTTGGTCCGTCCCTACATTCGGCGCCGGAGGCGTCTGTCTCTCCGAAATTTCTGGACCTTTCCACTAGCGTTTTTTTAAAATTCCATACTGATATCTTCCAATGCCCATGGTACATATCTTTCGTTTAACTATTTGCTTATTCTCCGCGCTGCAATACTTGGCACCAATTTGGTCTGGACATGGGTGCAATGGGGCGTCCTTTTTTACGCGCATGGCTCATACCTTCCACGATATGCATAAAAAACACATCGTACAAATAACGTTTATATAGTTCTTCTATTTCGATTGCGGGCATAAGCTCATTCTAAAAGCCTTGCAAACCTCTTTCCTTCCTAGAAATAACATAACTGGAGATCCTGCTCCGGCCTCCTCCACTCTTTCATCATCCACTTCCCACATTGTCTTTGAAGCACTCAGCCACCGAGCGCCATCTCGCCACGAGGTGCAGCTTGTCATGAACAAGAGCAGCACGTAACCAGCGGGATGCGCGGAACGCAGCCTCGTTCTGGCGGCGGCCGCTCGGGTCGGCATGACGACCGAGTCGAAGGCGCTCTAACATCCGACGAGGCCGAGAGCCGGCCTCTCCACGGTCGATCGCCGCCTATTTCTAGTCGTCGCCTGGATCGGGACGCCGAATTATGGCTGCCTGTGCCGTGTAATTGGCCATTGATCTGCGCTGGCCGCGACCGCGGTCCGCCAGTGTCCGTCGGAGCGTGCCGGCCGGCAGAGCGCGTGTACGTCGTCGGAGGCGCGTCGGCGTCGCCGCGGCGGCAGCACGTCGACCTTCGGGGTGCCGAGCCGCCCCGGCGTGCGGCCGGCCGCGCGGCTGCTCCTGCCGGTGCGGGGCGCCTCCGCCATGCCGCTGCACCAGCCGCACCTGTCGCCTCGACGTGGGGCCGGCTGCTGCGGCCGCGGCCGCTTGAACGAGGACAACTGCCGCTTCCTGCTGCTGGGCGCCGTGCTGCTGCTCTACCTGCTGGCCGGCGCCGCGCTCTTCCGCTGGGCCGAGCGTGACCACGAGCTGCGGTCGCAGCGCACCTACGCCCACCTGTTCGAGGATTTCCGGCGCAACCTGACCATGGGCGGCGCGCCAACCTTGGCCGACCTCGACCGGCTGCTGGACGCGCACTTAATAGCCAACCGGCTAGGCCTGCTGCACCACCGACCCCAGTGGGACTTCTCGGGCAGCTTCCACTTCTCCTGCACGGTCGTCTCCACCATCGGTGAGTGGGAAGGTGTGAGGCTGTGGTGTCCACCATCGGTGAGTGGGAAGGTGTCGGGCTGTGATGTCCACAATCGGTGAGTGAGAAGGTGTGGAGATGTGGTGTCCACCATCGGTGAGTGGGAAGGTGTGGGGCTGTGGTGTCCACCATCGGTGAGTGGGAAGGTGTGGGGCTGTGGTGTCCACCATCGGCGAAGGGAAGGTGTCGGGCTGTAATGGCCACCATCGGTGAGTGGAGCTGTGATATCAGCCATTTCGCGAGCGGGGAGGTGTCTGGCTGCGGTCTTTGCCATTTGTGATAACTTGATGTAGAACATAACAGTATGGCTCCGGGAAGACTTGGATTCACGAATCTGTCTAGGCTGCGCCAGGAAAGCTCCAAGCCACATGAGCTAGGGTCAGATTACACTTAAAACTTGGTCGGCGAAAAAGGACCGCCTCGGCCTACGGAAGCCTCAGAGATCCCTAGCGTGTTTCCTGAATGACTTCAGACCGGTGTTGGTCACGCCGCTGAAAATTTTACAAACTGAGCTTACATCATTTTCATGCGTGAGAATCGAACAAACTCTGATCTTGAGGGTTCATGGTCTATGGCTTACTCCTGAGCACACGTTTTGGTGACATTTTGCTGTAAAGTGATCAGAAAGTTTATTTCTTGCAGAAAGTGCACTCCTAGCAGGTTCTGTAGAATAATTTCTTTAATTTCATCGATCTGAAGCCGTAATATTGTTCCAGCTGCTGTTGGATGGCCCGTTCATCTAAGGCCAAGTTAGGTTGACGTTTAAACTTTATGGCTGGAGTTGACATTTTGAGTGATATACGATTAAAACCCCAGCGGTACGCATTTGAGTGTTTGAAAGCACTCTCTAACACCATTTTCCATATTCTCGTGGCTTGGTCGGTTTTTGATGCAGCCGAATGGCTCGACGCCAAGAAAGCTTTCACTCTGGACCTGACGTGACATGCCACAGGTCGGTCTTCACGATTGCCCACCTGATTCCAAGAGCTATTCAATGCCGTTTCGGTATTGCCATTGCGTACTTTGTCCGTCCCGATGGGTCAGTGGGTTACAGCGCACCCCTTCCGATCCACCCACCCGTGGCGAGCTGGGTTTGGATCGCTTTTGGGTGCTTGGTAATTTGTCTTTGATGGGTATAGCCTGCGGCCGGTGGTAGCGGCCGCGCTAAAGATCAGGAGACGTCAGGGGGCAGGACGGACCGCGCCGAACATTACGGCACGTTTAACGTTTGCCGCTAAAGTCTACTGTTGACCTGGAATTACGTGATCGGATGGTAGGGGTCAAGGCTCACACGACAAGCACTGCTTAGCGTGAGCGCTGATCCCAGAAATCCATCCATTCAAAACGTTTGCAACAAATCTTAAGAAAACTTAGTTCTTGAGATCATATGAGGTCTGTGATAGTGGTCTGTGATAGTGGTCAAGTGGTAATTTAATCCCTTTGTCTTAATTTGACCTGCCGATGGTTCCACTCATCATGGTTTACTCACGACTACCCGGTCGCAGTTGCCAGGAGATTTCTGATGTTGCTTTCCACGCAGATGAATGTTGTTGAGTTTTTAAGATATTATAGCCTCCGGAGGCTCTTGCAAACTCTGAGGTGGTGAACTTCACACACCAGGTTAACTGATGGGTGTCCATAATAATTGGGTAAAAGGTTGGGCTGTATAGGGATTTTTTTGCAAATACGGGTATGATAGATGCCCGTATTTTTACAAATACGGGTATATGAAACTCTGACTACGGGCTAGAGTTGTACGAAACGCTGCGCAGATTCTTCCAGAAATAGCACACAATGCTACTGCTTGGGTTTTGCAATTATCAACGCATGTGTACTTTCATGAAACCTACCCATAACTTCTAACACAAGTGCTAAGGAAAATGCAGGCGGATGGGCAACAGGTTGGTGAAGCTCATTAGGAATCGTTAGCCGGTGGGTATGAGCACAGCTCCATGGGTGCCCAGCCAGCGATTTCGGTTCAATTCCGACCGTTCCCAAACTTTGCCGGTTGGTATTGTTCGAGACAGATTCCGCAAGCGAGCGTCTTTAGTTGGGATTTACCCGCATTGCTTTGGACCATTGCCAAGTTTCCGCAAGCGGCCGGTTGGGCTATCCTGCGGCTTTCCCGAGTCGACTAAAACGATTCACATCAATAGAATTCTGATCCTAATTTTGCATCAAGAGAAGTCCGATTCCGTTCAGGCTTTTTCTGCCTTTTCTCAGCCGACTGGTCGGGGAGTCCCAAGTGTTCCCCACGCTGCCTAGTAATGGCACGCGGTCAATCTTCAGTTTGTTCCAATGGCGAATATGTATTGAGAAGTGTCTGATCCCGATCGGGGTCTACTAGTCGTTCTCCATGAAGGAGACTCGGGAAAATCCCAGGTTTCCCCAATCGATGGCCAGTAGCAGCTGACTCGACCGAGGAAACCTGTGGCAACCCACCGCGTTTCCCGAGCCGATCGGGGAAGCTTGAGACTTCTCAAAGCCTTTCCCAGCCTTGCCCATCCTTTCCCGACCTTTGCCCAAGCAAGTTTCTGGCCGTGTAGTGGGTGAGTTCGGCAAATGAAATCTTACTCGTAAAGGCCTGTTCTCTGCGACCTTCCTCGAAATGTGAAGGTGAAACAGGTTCGTGGGACGACGATGAAATCCTGGCGAAAGTTGTGTCGCCGGTCTTAAAAGAAAAAATACAAGCGCCTGAATCTGTATTGATTATCTTACCCCTTTCCGCTCTTCCATCGGTGTGTACGTCGCCACCAATATCAGAAACGACTGCATCAGCACGTTGCCGTTTGGCGCACGGGTGCATTCGAACGTCTGAGGTGTTGTTAGACCACAGTGAGTGTCGACAGGCACCCTTCCCACGCATTCGCGCTGCCGTTCCCTCACGCTGCGTTGGAGATGGCGATACACCGCAGAGACGATTCGGTAGTCCGTCTTGTGCAGGTCGATGTGCTGGTGTTCATGCTGAAGAGCTTGTATTTCCAAAGGATCAGTTCAACGTAAAGCAGGCGAGAGTGCAAACGAAAAATTTACGAGCAGCATCGTCAGCCCAGGCTCGCCCAATTATCTATATCATCGGCAGAGCAACCGGTAAGCAGGGGCGTGCTCACGATTTCATAAAAGTGGGATGGCACAACTCAAAGCTGTTCGCTGAAAACGAAGCGAGGCACGTCGCTGGCGTGCGCAATTTTTTCCATATCGCTAAACAACGTCGTATGTTCTCGACCTTCATATTTTTACGTGCCTACCTGGAATTTTTAATTACCATCATTTAGTCATGTGCATATGAAATAGCATGTCATAAATTTGTTAAGAGGGGGCAAGTGCCCCTAGGGACTCTTACGCGCCTACGTCCCTGTCGGTGAGATTCAGCTCGTACCGGTACTGCCGGCGGTTTTCGATGCATCCTGTAGGGCCGACGGCTTCCAGCACCATTCGACATGGCGAATCCTGGCACGGTATAGTACCGCTTATGCTAATCTAGTACCGGCTGCCAGTACTGCGGTACTAAAAAGCCAGCACATCAGACGAGAGCATCTCGATCGGGCGTGGCGCCGGTTCAACAGGCCCAAAATTCACTGCCTGGGCTGTCGAGATACAAAAGCATCTAAAAACCAGCCGCGGAACAATCGTAGCCTGTTGACCAGTACCGCAGGCAGGGGGCACAGGTGCCACGTGCCCCCCTTCTTTAGGTTTTGAGGGGCCCTAAGGGCCCTCGGAACCTGCGATTAAGGGCCCGAAAGGCCAGCCGGGGCTCGCACTCAGGGGCTTTTGCTCGCGGGGCCGGGCACTCCAATGCGAGCCAGAAGGCCTCGCGCGCTGATCAGGGGCCCCCTGAGTCTATAAGCGCCTATATGTTGGTCAGACACCACCAGTATGCAGAGTCGGCTGAGTGGCGGCACGGGCCTTATGGTCAATTTCGCAGGCATGAAGAAACCCGGAGCCAGCCAGCTACATTGGTCGAGGCCCCACAGCTCCTTATGGGAGCCTTGTGTTGGCAAGGGGCTCCTGGGTCCGGCCATGGGAAGTATTTGATGAAGCCTGAAGAGGGGCCCGGGCGGCCCACTGGAGCCGACCACCAAAGGCCCGTTTGGAGGGCATAAGGGCCCGAAGGACTGGTTGTAGGTTACATAAAGAATCACGACTCGCATGGCCGTGACCAGCAATATTAGTCTTAGGTCCTCTTGCACCTTTTGAGGAACCCTGAGACAGTGCGGGGTTCTAAGTCGGCCAAAGACCACGAACACCGAACAGCCGGCTCATACCCGTCTGAGCCCTTGAGACCCATGTCCCAAGCAGGAACCATGCCGGGGCCCGCGATTTGCAAGGTTTGGGGTCCCTGACACGATGCGAAGCTCCTGTATCCGTCAGGGGCTACAGTGCCCAAGCAGAGGTCCTGTGGTGGCAAGTGACTCCGAGTCGGAGCGGTGTTTAGGGGGCCCGAAGAGGGACGAAGAGTCTCTCAAGGCCAAAGATCAAGGGCCCGATTGGAAGCCTGAAAGGTCCGAAGAGCTGACTGTAAGTCACATTAAGGACCCCCGCTCATAGGTTTGTGATCTTAAATGTCAGGAAGAGGGCCTCTTGCACCGAAAGGAACCCTTAAGACGAAGCGTTCCCTTATTTCGGCCAGAGATCACCAACAACGAACAGTCGGCTCCGAGTTGGTCTGAGCTCTGGGGGTTCATTTTCCCAAGCAGGGACAAGCCCGGGCCCACAATTTATATTGGTCGGGCTCCTGTATCGTTCAGAGGTGCGCAGTGCCTAAAAGGGTGTTTTGTGTCAACAAGGGGCCTCCAATGGGTCGGGGAAACATTTTCCCAGCGAGGACGGGGATGGGAGCCTGAATGACAGACGGCCACTTAAGTTGGTCGGGGCTCGCTCGCAATGAAAGGAAACGCGAAAACTTATCAAGAGTGCTCCCATTGAGACAATGCAAGGGGCATGTACCGGTCAGGGCCCCTAGCATCGAACGGTGCGCTCTC